CCCAGTGTCTAGAAGAAAGCCTATATCAATATACGTGTTCAATAAATGTTTGTTAGATAAACAGTGAATGGGACCACTGGTACTCGGTGTTCTGCTGAAATCTGGGGCTACAAGGTGTATAGAAGGTGCTGGTCTATTGGTGACTTATATTCCTGCCCAGGCTTCAGTGGCTCTTCAAGGAAGACCAAGTCTACTTCCTCCATTCTTAGCTCAGCCAAGGGTGCTTCTTACTTGGGCTCCTATGATCACAATTCTTAGTGCTCTGTTCTTAATAAGCATCCATCTCCTAGGGAGCTAGCTGATTCCATGACTGAGTTTCAGAAGTTGCTCTGGACTCTACTAGTCCATGGACCCCCAAATCAGTGTGCTAATGGAGAATATCCTGGATGAATCCAGGGCAGTTTCCTGTCACTTTCCTTGCAGAAAGAGAGGAGGGAGTTAAGAGGTGAAGGAGGGAAGGAAAGAAAGAAGGAAAAGAAAATGAAAGTACAAATTGAATTTCTTTGAGGTTACCTTTTGGAACAGTGATTTATTAATTCATGCATTTAACAAATGTGTATTGCTTGCCAACTATGTGTCAGGCATTCTTCTATGTACATTACTGCTATAATTGCTATGATCTTTATCATCTTCAGCATGAGTATATATTAGACTGTGAATTTCTTAATAAAGGCAGAGATGGCCAGGCATAGTGGCTCATACCTGTAATCCCAGCACTTTTGGAAGCCAAGACGAGAGGATCCCAGCTACTTGGGAGGCATAAATAGGAAGGCTTGCTTGAGACCAGGAGGCTTGAGGTTCCAGTGACTTATTGCACCACTGTACCGCAGCCTAGACAACACAGCAAGACCCTGTCTCAAAAATAAAGCAAGCAGAAACAATCTTTTCATCATAACAAGTGCATAGTAAATGTCTACTGCCCGAATGAATGAAACAGAGGAGAGAAGTAATGAAAGATATTAAAGATTAGGCCCAGTTACATTTATATTCAGACAAAAACAAAGAATGGTTGTTCTTTAAATTGTACAATGTTATGATATTAAATTGTAAATGTCTTCCATGTTTTATATTTGCCTATTTAACATAAATATTTTTTATAGATTCCTAATTTTCAAATAAAATGTATGACTCAACATATTTGTAATTTTAATATATTTTCTGTCATCTTCTGTCTTTCCACTTAACATTAATGACAAACATTTTTTAGTGTTTTTGTTTTTTGAGACAGCATCTCACTGTCACCCAGGCTGGAGTGTAATGGTGTGATCTCAGCTTACTGTAACCTCTGTCTCCCAGGTTCAAGCAACTCTCCTGCCTCAGCCTCCCAAGTAGCTGGGATTACAGGGGCCTGCCACTATGCCTGACTAATTTTTTGTATTTTTAGAGACAGGGTTTTGCTGTGTTAGCCAGGCTGATCTCGAACTCCTGACCTCAGGTGATTGACTTGCCTCAGCCTCCCAAAGTGTTGGGATTACAGGCATGAGCCAATGCACCCAGTCCTGAGTGTTTTTACATTATCATTATCTTCATGACTTTTTGTAGTTTGTAACTTCTCTTATTTTTGAAGTACTGTTGGGTTCCCTGCAGCCACCAGCAATGCGAACCCTGGAACAACCTGTCAGGTGTTTGTGGTTCTTTCACAAATGACAAGATGAGGGAGCACCTGGGAAAGTACATCTCACTCTGGAGGAAGAGATGGCACCACATGAGGAACAGGCAGGGAGTCAATCTCAGGTGCACTCAGGAGAGAAGAAAGGCTCATTTACCTGATAAGCTGCTCTGAAGTGAGAAAACAGTGTGCAGGGTGATATTGAGCTCTATTCTGCAGTTCGATCAACATGCTTCTACATCTTGGCCCTCACATAGCAGCCTGCCTGGCTGCCATCTGCCAAGCTCTTGCTTTTCTTTCTGTTTTGCATAAGGCTTTTGCTTTTAATATGCTGCTATTAAGTACAGAAAAACAAGAGCATACCAGACTTCAGGGATCTGCCTGCTTCTCTTCTGCGTTTTAGTAGAGATTAGTTCTTTTGCCATTTGTTATTGTCAAATACAACATGAGTTCAGAGAAGGACTACTGCACCTGACCAGGATGAATGCCACGCATTGAAGAAATTGGCAGGAAACAGAAGAGGTTTATAGGATCTTCTCTTTTGCCACTCCCATTTTGATAACAAGTGGAAGTACATTTGCAATATATATTGAAAATAATGAGAAAATGCATTTTTCTTTATAGCCAACTCTTATATGGACCTAGTTTCAAATGAAGTTATGAGGAAATGGCTCTTGTGACTAAATGTTGATTAATGTGCTGTGAGCTCTGAACCCAGGATGAGAAATGGGAGGAAATAAAACTAAGGAATAAGGAGGAAGTGCTCTGGGTGCCTTGCCTAAGAGATGGAACCCTCAAATCTTGGGAATACCCGTATTTTGTAAACCAGAGACTCTGGACTTAGGTTATTTTGTGTGTCCTCTCTTATTTGTTACCCTTTTTCAAGTTATGTTTTAATAATCTATAGCTCTGGGTTGTAACATATATATGTGTGTGTGTATATATATATATATATACACACGTATATATATATATATACATACATATGCTTAGGCCAGAGTTTAATGGGGTCAACAGCATCCCTGGAAGCTGACATCTTGTTAGCAGGTATAATTAAAGAGAGATCCCAAGAGAAAGATGATTCTGGTGGCGGGGACACCCAAAAATGAAAGGCCAAATTGAGTAGGGGCTCCTTTCCAACAGGCACTCTCTTGCTACAGTAAATCTTGAATGTTATTTAAATTTTATCTTATTTTTACGTCACAAAGTACTGTAAGGCCAAGTGTGGTGGCTCACGCCTGTAATCCCAGCATTTTGGGAGGCCAGGAGTTCGAGACTAGCCTGGCCAACCTGATGAAATCCTGTCTCTAGCCAGGTGTGGTGGCATGTGCCTGTAGTTCCAGCTACTCTGGAGGCTGAGGCAGGAGAATCACTTGAACCTGGGAGGCGGAGGTTGTACTGAGGTGAGATTGTGCCATTACACTCTAGCCTGGGTGACAGAGCAAGACTGTCTCAAAAAATAAAGGACTCCATCCTTTAAGAAGTACACTCAAGCCCAAAAGAATTCTTTTGAAAATATTTAAAGTAATGTGAGAAAACTAAATCAAGAACTTAAATAATGACATTTTCCACAAACTCTAGGATCAAGCACCAATTAAAGAGTAAGTAAACTGGGCACGATGGCTCATGCCTGTAATCCCAGCACTTTGGGAGTCTGAGGTAGGCAAATCAATCACTTGAGGTCAGGAGTTTGAGAGCAGCCTGGCCAACGTGGTGAAACCCCTGTCTACTAAAAATACAAAAATTAGTCGAGTGTGGTAGTGCATGCCTGTAATCCCAGCTACTCGGGAGACTGAGGCATGAGAATTGCTTGAACCTGGGAGGTGAAGGTTGCAGTGAGCTGAGATTGAGCCATTGCACTCCAACCTGGGCGACCAAGTGAGACTCTGTCTGAAAAACACACAAACAAGAGTATGTGTAGAAGATTATGGAATTATTACATGTTCAAGGTCTCATCTATCTTGACATTTCTGTGATGTTTGTCATCATTCATTCATTCACTGAACATTTACTGAGTGACTCTTAAGTGACATACCTATAGGCAGTGACTTGTACACTGCTGTTATCTGTCAGTTTTTAATAATTTCAAAATGAAACACATTTTGATAAGCAATGGCTAAGTGTGTGTGGCACAAATACTTTGAGGCATATGAGTGAGCTGCCCACTCAGGGCCTTATCTATGCTCTGCCAGAATGTATGTGCATCCCTGGAAACCTCACTTGAGAGTGCAGAAGGTGGCTGATACCATACACACTCTTCCTGTATACTAGACAGTCTCTTCTGAAATTTAGTCACCTTAATCACTGTTTACTATAAAGTTCCACAACTTAAACATCAGGCAATTACAGGATATGGTGTTTTGGCCCTAATGAACCTTGCAAATACCTGAAATACGCAGAATACTTAACTTCATTCCAGACCGACTCGTAAATTTTAGGGGAGCAGAAGAGTACAAATGAAGGCCAGTAACCGTTGTGAATACTATGCCAAATTGTCAGTAGGTTGTAACCCCACATTGGAATACTAACAGAAGGAAAATGTATGCTTGACACTACTGAGAAATAATACTTTGTTATGCATGAATCTATAGCATTCAAACAGTCGAAGGATTTTACAGGTTAACTAATTTGTCATCTCTCTCACCTAAGCATTTTTGCTGCTCAAATTCTGACTCCAAAGCAGTCTGAATGGGCAGCCATGCTATCTACAAATTTTCACTGCTTCTGGAAGTTCACCATTTGTTTTGAGGACATAAGACAAAAGATATGAAGAAGAGTGTTTCTCGGTCCTGAATAGTGTTCTTCATGGGAGAGTGAATTTAGGGTTATGAGCCGGTGTTCAGTATCAGATCACAAGTGGCAGAGGCACCCATGTTTTTTTTTTTTAAGAAATTAATGTGTGTGTGTGTGTGTGATATATAAGTTCCTTTAAAGCATGGAGTTAGAAGTCTCTCTTGCCCAGGTCTAAGGGGGGTAGGGTAGTGCTTCGTGATACTAGGAATTTAATGCCAAGTGTATTTGTTGTGTGACCTAGGTGGCTGAATTTTTAAAAAGTTCTTCAGCATTGAGAAAAATCCAGTTAGACTTATCACTTAGAGAGCTGTAGCATATTTCTAAGTTTGACTTTCCCCAAAACTAGTGTAAATGTCACTGATATGAGGACTTTTTGAAGAAACAAAATAGCTAAGATATACAAAAATAGAGCAACTATGGCCAATCTTGTTTCAGCCGTTTTCATCTATATCCCCACTCATTCCCCCTACGCATAATAAATGACTTTTTTTTCCCAGCAAATCCTCAGTGTTTTGCATCCTATATATTTCTAACGCATACTCTTAAAAAGGTATGTCCACAATATTGTCCAAATATTCCCTATTTAACAAGCACTTACAGTTGAAAGGCACCTCATGATTTTTACTTCTGAGGATGAAAATAATTTCTCCGTGGTCATCTTATTAGTGTTTATTGTTTTAAGTCACCTGAGGAGGTGTGATGTGCTACTCTAAATCCATTTGTAGGGCTTGGCTTCAAGAATCGAAGACTCTGGACCTAGCTGACCTGGTGGCAGTGAACTTGAGACCTCTACTAGAGTTTATTAGTATATTTTAACTTTTGGAAAGCAAAGTATAGGAAGGGGATTTAGTCTTTCCATTAGGTCGAGGCATGTTAAGACTTGTTTCTTTTTCCAAAATGTTCAAGTTGCTAAGAGAACTACGCACTTTGTTGTTTTAATTAACTGCCTGGGTCAGGAAGTCCCTCGGTTTCGGGTCACATTCCGCTCCCGCAGGCTTGCTGGCCGCCCCGGCTGGTCTGCTCCGGCGGTGCCAGAGGTCAGCGGCCGAGGCCGAACTCGGTGCCTGGGTTTTGCGCAGCTCCAGGGCTCTGAGGCGACATTGGGCGTTTCCTTTCCGGCTTCGGAAAGTTTTGTTTTGGTTCAAGGAAAGGCGCCTTGTTGACCAAAGGCTTCTCAGTCTCCTCCGGGTGGCCGGCGGCCAAGTTTCCTCCAGTCCAGCGAGCCCAGACTATGGTCCGTTCGAGATCCTCGAAGGCCGGGGAAGGAGAAAACGAGTGCGCAGCCAGACTGCCGACTCCACTGCTGCTGGCTGGCACTTCTCTTCGTTCTGTCCCTGGGCCAGTGCCCGTCGCACCGCAAACGATGCGAGCAGTCTCCCCGATGACTCCTCAAGGACCCAGTTCTCCACCATTCCTAAGAGAACACTCAACCCAGCCGCGCCCGCGCTGCAGAGATCTCCCAACACCCGGGAACGGGGCCAGGGCGCATGCGCACACCGTGGCCGAGGCATCTAAGTGTTCGCCCCGCGGCGGCAGCCGCTAGGTGGCGCATGCGCCCTGGAAGGTACGGGCCAGTCTGGGAAGAAGGCGGCAGCAGCGGCGGCGGCGGCGGCGGCGACGAAAGGCGGGGGTGCGGTGGGGGCCGGGCCGTGTTTACACAGCGGCGGGCAGGCGCGGACGCGGAACCCGGCGCGGCGGCGGCACGATGGTCATGGCGTATTTCGGCGAGAATTTTTGGGTAAGCTTAGGATGTTGGAAGTAGCGTGTTTCGGAGTCCAGGCTTTTGGCGCCTGAGCTTGGCCTGCGTGCGCTTCGGGCGGCGGCTGCTCCTCGGGAAGGGCGAGCGTCCTCAGACCGCCGCCTGCCGCGTCCCGCCTGGTTGAGGTCCGGTGGGCGACCGGTCGCAGCCAGACGATAGGGGCTCCCGGGCTCGAAGCCCTACTGGGGAGGGGGGTTGTCAGCGCGGCCCGGGAGCCCTGCGGGGCCGCCAGCCGCCGGGGCTGGGACAAAGCGCCGGATGGGGCGGGAGACGGGACCCAGCCCCACCGGAGGCTCCCGGCGCCGGGCGCGCTCTGCGCGGGGCGTGCGCGGCGGCTCGGACGCGAAGGACGGGCCCGCGGCACGGCAGCCTCCGGCTGCGCTCTGGCTGGGAGCGTGGGGCGGAGGGGTTTCGCCTCCTGCTCGCGCCGCGTGCCCCCACCTAAGCTAGCCCTTTTATCCCGGACGGTTTCCACACCAAATCCTGTGTGGGACTGGGCTGGACAAGCACTTCCTCTCAGCCTCGCAGCTGGGCTCGTGGGTCTGCGCCCAGGACTTTGCCTCTGGGCCTGTTCACAAAGCGTATAAAAGTTGATTTTAATGTAACTGAACTCCTTGGGCTTAAATGCACGGAGACTTCCCCTTACTCCTCTGTGCTCCTTCCCCTTCCTCATTCTTTCCACCCCTCTCTTAGCTCAGTATTATTCTTCTTTGAGAATTTCTCAGGCTCCCTGTGGAGTATTTTTCTGCAGTTTTTGTTTTTTTGTAATGGGAAGTACAGTTCAGCCATGTACAGGAAAGGAACGTGTTTACTCAGGTATCTTTCGTGAATCCTATTTTATGCCCTGACAGTTGCAAGTACCGCTGTTCATTTTCGTTGAGATTTAGACGTATTTAAGGGGGTAATCTTTTAGCTAGTAAGGAGTGTATCTTAAATTCTTCATTCTAAGTGTCTCAAGTGTGGTCTTCGTTAGTAATCAAATCAGTTCATAGTTATTAATGTCTTGAATGTACCTTGTTTTCCATAAAGAATGTATATACTAGACCTTACGTGTTTTGTTTTTTAAACAGCTTTATTAAGTTCACATTCTGTACCAGTACACCCATTTAAGGTGCACTACAATTCAGAGATTTTTCATATGTTCATAAAGTTGTGCAAACATCACCACCCCAATTTTAGAACAATTTCATCATCCCAGAAATAATCCCTAGCCCCATTAGCAGTCACTCCCCATTTCCCCTTGCCCCAGGCCTGGGCAGCTAATGTATTTTCTGCCTCTCTACCTTTGTCTAGTCTGGACATATCCTAAAAAAGGGGCCATTGTGACTCGGTTCTTTCACTTAGCATAATGTTCTCACAGTCTATCCATGCTGTGTCATGTATCAGTACTAATTCCTTTTTATGGCCAAATAATATTCCATTTCACATTTTATTAATATTTATCCAATTAGTGATGGACATCTGGTTGTTCCGACTTTTTGGTTATGAATAATGCTGCCATGAACATTTTTGTACAAGTTTTTGTGTGAACATATGTTTTCATTTCTTTGGGAAATGCGATTCCTGGGTCAAATTGAAGATTTGTGTTTAACATTTTGAGGAACTGCCAGACTATTCTGAAGTGGTTGTTAGCATTTTACAATCCCACCAGCGATGTCTGAGGGTTCCTCTCCACGTGCTCACCAACACTTGTTATTTGTCCTTTTTATTATAATATCCTAGTGGGTGAACGTGAAGTAGTATTAATATTTTCTTACGGTTTGGTTGCATTTCTCTGATAGCTAATGATGTCAAACATCTTTTCATGTGCTTATTGCCTATTTTTACGTTTTTTTTTTTTTTTTTAAGAGAAATGTCTGTTTAGAGTAAATATTGGGTTGTCTTTTTGTAACTGAGTTCCAAGAGTTTTTTTTTAATATTCTGGATACGCGTCTTATCTGACACATGATGTGTAAACATTTTCTCCCATTCTGTGGGTTGCCTTTTCATTTTCTTGATCCTGTTCTTTGAAGTAACACATTAAGTTTTTAATTTTCATGAAGTCTTGGTGAAGTCCATCTTATCTATTGTTTCTATTATTTGTGCTTTTATTGTATCTAGGAAGCCTTTGCCTAATTAAAAAATTACTCTTGTGTTTTCCTGTAAGGGTTTTATAGTTTTAGTTCTTCTAGTTAGGTCTATGATCTATTTTAAGTTAATTTTTGCATATGGCTCAAGGAAAGGGTAAAACTTCATTATTTTGCATTTGTATATCCAGTTGTCCCAGTATCATTTGTTGAAAAGGCTCATTTTTCCCCATTGAATTGTCTTTGTACCATTGTGAGATATCAATCGACCAGAAATGTATGGATTTATTTCTGAGTTTTCAATTCTATTCCATTGTCTGTCCTTGCGACAGCCAATACCACACAGTTTGGATTACTATTGTTTGGATTACAAATTTGTTTCGTATAGCAAATTTGGAATCAGGAAATATGCATCCTCCAGCTTTTTTCTTCTTTTTCAGGATTATTTTGACTACCCTGGGTTCCTTGCATTTCCACATGAGTTTTAGAATTATCCTGTCAGTTTTAGGCATTATGTTTTACTATGGCAATTTATAAAATGTTTATAAAGAACATTTAAAAATTGACGTTCTTATAAATGTTTTGCATATTTTTTGATGCATCAGTTTTTTTTAAGTTGTTAGCTTAACTCCAAATTGCATCTTCACATTTAGAAAAAGTTATGTTTCATTTTCTGTTAATTGAGCTTTGAGCATAGCCTTGTTTGTTTTTAGCTAATATGAATAATACTTCTCTGAGTATCTTTATACATATTTTTATGTGCTTCTTGCTTATTCTTGTTAAAAGAGGAACGTAAATAAACTTGAATGTTTGAATTCTGGAGAGACCTCCAAATCTATTTATGTTTTAGTTTTTGCCTTCACTTTCACTGTTGAAAATAAACTGTTAATAGATTGCATTTTATTTTATTTCCTGGCCTGGAATTGGGGATGAGAGGAGGCTCAGTGAGCTAGGAAGGTCCAGGAATTAACTAACTTCTGAGAATTTGATTGTTGTTTTAGGTTGGGCATGGTGGTTCGTGTCTGTAACCTCAGCGCTTTGGGAGTTTAAGGCAGGGGGTTGCATTGAGCCCAAGAGTTGGAGACCAACCTGGGCAACACAGTAGACATTGTCTCTACAAAATTTTTTAAAAATCAGGGGCCGGGCGCAGTGGCTTAAGCCTGTAATGCCAGCACTTTGGGAGGCCGAGGAGGGTGGATCACGAGGTCAAGAGATCGAGACCATCCTGGCCAACATGGTGGAACCCCGTTTCTACTAAAAATACAAAAAATTAGCTGGGCATGGTGGCGTGTGCCTGTAATCCCAGCTACTCGGGAGGCTGAGGCAGGAGAATTGCCTGAACCCAGGAGGCGGAGGTTGCAATGAGCCGAGATGGCGCCATTGCACTCCAGCCTGGGTAACAAGAGCGAAACTCCGTCTCAAAAAAAAAAAAAACAATCAGCCAGCTGTGTTGGTGTATACCTGTAGTCCCAGCTACTTGGAAGGCTAAGGCAGGAGGATTGCTTGAGCCCAGGAGTTCAAGGTTGTGGTAAGTTATGATCAGTCACTGTATTCCAGCTTGGGCAACAGAGTGAGATGCTGTCTCAAAAACAAAACAAAAAGTCACGTATTCAGAATCATTTATGAAATAATCTCTTAAAATAGGTATAATTTAACTTTTCCCTCTAGGGTTAAAATGGCACTATTAAAAGGAAATAAACTTGTCAAAATTCAAAACATCACTTTCTACATGATAAATACGTATGATTTTTATCAATTAAGAACTTGTCAAAGTGAGGTAATGGGAACCTTTGATGTTTTAGGTTTCTTTCTTTCTTTTTTGAGATGGTGTCTTGCACTGTCTCTCAGGCTGGAGTGCAGTGGCACAATTTCAGCTCATTGCAACCTCTGCCTCCTGGGTTCAAGTGATTCTCCTGCCTCAACTTTCTGAATAACGGGGATTACAGGCGCCCACCACCAAGCCCAGCTAATTTTTTTGATTTTTAGTAGAGATGAGATTTTGCTACGTTGGCCAGGCTGGTATCGAACTGACCTGGTGATTCGCCTGCCTCAGCCTCCCAAAGTGTAGGTAGGGATTATAGTGTGAGCCACTGCGCCTGGCTTAGGTTTCCTCCTCACCTCCCCTCCCCTCCCCTCCCCTCTCTTCCCCTCTCTTTCTCTCTCTCTTTCTCTCTTCCTTCCTTTCTGTTGCAGTCTTTCCGTGTTCCCAGGCTGGCATGCAGTGGCACGAGTACGGCTCACTGCAGCTTCGATCACCCAACCTCAAATGGTCCCCCCACCTCAGCCTTCTGAGTGTGGGACCACAGTTACAGGCCACCACACTCAGCTAATTTTTAAATTATTTGTAGAAATGAGATCTCACTATGTTGCCCAGGCTGGCCTCGAACTCCTGGGCTCAAGCCATGCTCCCGCTCTAGCTTCTCAAAGTGCTGGGATTACAGGGTTGAGCCACTGTGCCCAGCCAAAGTTTTAGGTTTCTAACCAAACAGCATATTAATTGTTTCCCTCCTCCCACATATATAAAGACAAACCTTTTGTTGTGACACTTCCTTAGAAGAAAGTTTGAATCATTGAAACTCTCTTCAAGCTCTTTTCAAAGCAGCACATTCTTCCTTTTTCTTAAAGTATAGGTTTTCTTAATTAAACTATATGCTACATTGAAAATTCCTTTACTTAATACTGTCCTTTGAAGGAAAAAATTATTCAGAACTTTTTATAGTACAGGTGTTTTGTTGTTGATAAGTCAGTGTTTGCCACAAAGTATAGCACCATTGATAAGCTGAATTTTTTCTATTAAAATTGGACAGCAAAAATAATTTTGATAATAGAAATTCACACCATTGCTTTTAATATGTAAAAATAATTGTTGGCCCGTCAAAAGATTATATAACTTTAAAAAGATAGTGATCAATA